GCTGCAGGTTTTGGGGTGCTGCAGGTTTGGGTGCTGCAGGTTTTGGGGCTGCAGGTTTAGGGTGCTGCAGGTTTGGGGTGCTGCAGGTTCTGAGTGCTGCAGGTTTGGGGTGCTGCAGGTTTGGGGTGCTGCAGGTTTTGGGGTACCAGCTCGATGGGTTCATACAGGCTCAGGTGGAACAGCCAGGTTTAATAAATCAGTAATTAATCCCCAGTTTAATAAAGGACGATAGGAGACAAGGAGAACAGAGCAAAGGTGTGAAGAACACGGTCACTCTCATGTGAAAATTTAAAATTTTAGTAAAGGACAATAGGAGACAAGGACCACAGAGCAAAGGTGATGTGGAAAACAGGTTCATTGTCCTGTGAAAGTGTAAAAAGTTTAATAACATACAAAAGGAGACAAAGAGAGCAGAGCAAAGGTTATGTGAAAAACACGGTCACTCTCTTGTGAACATGTAAAAAGTTTAGTAAAGGATGATAGGAGACAAGGACTATAGAGCAGAGGTGGAAAAACACAGTCACTCTCGTGAAAATTTTAAAGTTTTATAAAGGACAGTAGTAGACAAGGACCACAGATCAAAAGTTATGTGAAAAACACGTTCAGTGTCCTGTGAACATTTAAAAAGTTTAGTAAAGGGCAATAGGAGACAATAGGAGACAAGGACCATAGAGCAAAGGTGTGAAAAATACAGTAACTTTCAGGTGAAAATTTAAAAGTTTTATAAAAGACCATAGGAGAAAAAGAACCACAGAGCAAAGGTGGTGTGAAAAACACATTCACTGTCCTGTGAAAATGTAAAAAAGTTTAATAAAGAACAATAGGAGACAAAGAGAGCAGAGCAAAGGTTATGTAAAAATCCACGGTAAGTGTCCTGTGAACATGTAAAAAGTTCAATAAAGGACAATAGGAGACAATAGGAGACAATAGGAGACAATAGGAGACAAGGACTATAGAGCAAAGTTCATGTGAAAAACACATTCACTCTCCTGATAAAATGTAAAAAGTTTAATAAAGGACGATGGGAGATAAGGACCACAGAGCAGAGGTTATTATGGCATCAGCCAAGCCCGCACTGTTATCTGCAGGGACACCCCTTAAATGCCTTTTCCCTTACATCATCTATTTGCATATTCATAGACCTGTATGCATATGCATAACTAGTTTGCATATTCATGACCTTATTTTGCGTGGCCCCTCCTCGGGGCCGCCTTTTAGAGCCGGCTGTTTCTTGGCTTGGTTTTGGCTCCTTCCCTTTATCAACTCCAGTTTTGGGCCTGGCCCTCACTGCCCTCAGGGGTGAGCGCTGTGAAAAGCGCCAATCCCTTGGTTTTAAAATTTTTAAAAGTTTAACGATAATAAAATCGTTATAAAAATAGCAATATAATTAGAGTAATAAAAATTTGGACAATTTGGATTAGGACAATATGAGACAATAAGAACAAAGAGTTACGGNATAATAATAATAATAATAATAATAATAATAGTACCCAAAACATAGTAATGATGGGTCCAACTTTTGGACCTATCTCTGCCTCATCAACACTTAATTAACATGGAAATTAAATCCACATGGAGACTGGGAGCATCCTAAATATCCTTCTCTCACCTTTTCCCCCCCTCTTTCTTTATTTTTTAATATTTTTGTTAATATTTTATGCATTTTATGCCTTCCCTCCATCTGTTGCTCCGTGCCTGCTCCTCCCTGCCTGCCCTCACCACCATCTGCATAAATGATTTGTCACATGAAATGCCAAAAAATGCCCCAAAAAGTGTGAAAATCGGGATGTGTGATGGGGAAAGGATCTGGAGCTGGATGCCCACCTGCATCCAGCCTGGAATCACAAATGTCTGATTAATTGGCTCGTTAATTAGTCTTCTCTCCCGGGTTATTTGTGTCTCCTCCCAGCAGCAGCAGCAGAGAGAAATCCAAGGATTTCTCCTTGAAACTTTTCTGTTTCTCCTGAATGAGTCACCTTTGCCCAAACTCCTCCATCTTTTGGGGGGATCTTTTGGGGGGATCCTGGGGCTCCCAGGTTTTTGGGGAGCATGGGAGCAGCCAAAGCTCAGCACGGGAACATCTCCAATGTTTTGTGTCCCTCCAGGCCAAAGCCAGGCACCCCAAAACTCGGAGGAGCCCCAGGAGCTGGAGCCCCAAAACCAGGAGGGGCAGAACCCCAGAGAGACAGAGCCAGAGACCCCCAAAACCGGAGCCCAGAGACCACAAAAAACGGAACCCAGACACCCCAAAACCCAGAGAGCTGGAGCCCAGAGACTCCAAATCCTGCAGAGCCAAAGCCAGAGACCCCAACTCCTGCAGAGTCGGAGAACAGAGACCCCAAATCCTGCAGAACCAGTGCCCAGAGACCTGAAAACCAGAGAGCTGGAGCCCAGAGACCCCAAAACCTGCACAGCTGGAGCCTAAAGACCCCAACTCCTGCAGAGTTGGAGCCCAGAGACCCTAAAGCCCAGAGAGCCAGAGCTCAGAGACCCCAAAAACAGGAGAACCAGAGACGACAAATCCTGAGGAGCCGGAGAACAGACACCCCAAAACCAGAGAGCCAGGGCCCAGAGACCCCAAAACCTGCAGAGCCGGAGCACAGAGAGCCTGAAAACCCTGCAGAGCCGGAGCCCAGGCACCCCAAAAGCAGGAGAGCTGGAGCCCAGAGACCCCAGATCCTGAAGAGCCAGAAAACAGACACCCCAAAACCCGGAGACCCCAAAACCTGCAGAGTCAGAGCCCAGAGACCCCAAAAAACGGAGCCCACAGACCCCAAAACCCAGAGAGACGGAACCTAGAGACCCCAAATCCTACACAACTGGAGCACAAAGACCCCAAAAGCCGGAGCTTGGACACCCCAAAACCTGCAGAGTCAGAGCCCAGAGACCCTAAGAGCCAGAGAGCCAGAGACCTCAAAAACAGAGAGCCAGGGCCTGGAGACCCCAAAACCCAGAGAGCTGGAGCCCAGAGACCCTAAAACCCAGAGCCCAGAGACCCCAAATCCTGGAAAGTCGGAGCGCAGAGACCTCAAAACCCAGAGAGCCTGAACCCAGATTTCCTGAGAGCTGCAGCCAGGACAGGAGAAAGCCGGAGCCCTGAAACCCTGGGAGCCCTGAAACCTCGGGAACCCCAAAACCCCAGGAACCCTGAAACCCCAGGAACCCTGAAACCTGGGAGTCCCCAGGCGCCCCCAGCCCAGGCCAGGGGTCAGGAGCCCCATCCAGCCCCGTGTGCAGAGGGAGGGTCCCTCACCCCAGAAGGAGCAGTGGGTGAGTACCTGGGACCCCCAAAATCCGTGGGATTCCCTTCCTTTCCCCCTTCCATTCCCCCTTTTCCCTTTTCCCTTCCCTGTCTGACAGGACTGGGGGCTGGGGAGGGGATGGTCCTACCTGGGACAGGAGGAGCAGAAGCTTTCCCACCTTTTCCCACCTTTTCCCACCTTTTCCAACCTCGGGAGGAGCAGAAGCTGCCCCAGGACTTTGGGGTGTTCCCCCCGATCCTGGCAGCTCTTTGGGGCAGGTGACCCCACCTGGGGGATGAATCCAAAGCCCACCCCCCCCCCGTGACTCCTGTCACCTGCTGAACAAGTGTCCCCAACAGTTTGGGTCCCCCTCAGGGACCACCAAGGGCTTGGGGGGACAGCCAGGTGTCACCTGGAGATTTGGGGAGCTCTGTGGGCTCCAGAGAGGTGATTTCACCTGGCCCATCCCGGGTTTTTAGGGTTTCAAAGGGGGTGAGAGGAATCCCAGAACCCCAAATCCCCCCGGGGACCCCCAGGTCGGTGACAGCCCCTCGTTGTCCCCTCATGCAGCATGTGGCAGGTGTGACCCTCCCCACCTGTGCCAGCCCGCCATGGAGCCGTGCCCGGGGCAGCCCCAGGAGGCCCTGCTGACGGTCAACGAGCAGGTACGGACCCCAAAACGGGCTGGGACCCCAAAACGGGCTGGGACCCCAAAATGGGCTGGGACCCCAAAATGGGGCTGGGACCCCAAAATGGGGCTGGGACGCCAAAATGGGGCTGGGACCCCAAAACGAGCTGGGAGCCCAAAACGGGCTGGGAACCCAAAAGGGGCTGGGACCCCAAAAGGGGCTGGGACCCCAAAACTGGACTGGGGTGGGACCCCAAAATGAGGCTAGAGAGGAGGACTCCAAAACCGGCCAGGCTGGGCTGCCAAAACTGGGCCTGGACTGGGACCCCCACCCCAAAACTGGGCTGGAGATGGGACCCCAAAAGTGGCCATGGGTGGGACCCTAAAATCGGGCTGGGAGTGGGACCCCAAAACCGAGCGTGGACTGGGACACCCACCCCAAAACCAGGCTGGGGTGGGACCCGAAAACCAGACTGGGGAGGGGAACCCCAAAACTGGCCACGGCTGGGATCCCAAAACCAGCCAGGGATGGAGCCCCCTAAAACCGGGCTGGGGGTAGGACCCCAAAATCGGGATGGAGAGGGGCACCCCAAAACCGGGCCTGGACTGGGACCCCCACTCCAAAACCAGGCTGGAGATGGGATCCCAAAACCAGCCATGGGTGGGACCCTAAAATCGGCCAGGGGTGGGACCCCAAAACCGGCTGTGAGTGGGACCCCTCCTGTGTGCCCTGGGATGGGCTGGAACACCTGCAGGAGATTTGGGGGGCTCACCTGGCCCTGCACCCCGCCTGTGGGGCTGGAGGGGACACTGCAGTGGGATTTTGGGGTGCTGTTTTGGGGGGCTGTTAGTTTGGGGTGCTGTG